TGGTTACCAAACGGTGCCTTATAACTAATTATTAAAGGACAAAATGATAATTTTATATTCGACAAAAGAATAATTATAATATATTAATAATTAAATAAAAAAAAAATATTCATCTTCTTCTCCACTTGCCCCCTCATATCCCACCACCCTAAAACCAAAACCTACCAAAATCAGCACCCACCAAGCATCAACACCACCAAAATCATCCATTATTCTGAGTTAGTTTCTCCTCAAAAACCACCAAACCCAACAACATGTCTGAAGACAACCTTTAAAATCCATAGCTGCAATTAGAAATTGACGTTTCACTCGCCATTACAGCCGCCGACCTTTTGCCACTCGCTTGGCAACCCACTCCCTTCAATTTGGTTACTACTCTACTTCGGGCCTGCCTTTAGTTTGGTTTCTGCAAACTTTATTTTGCAGGAATTTTGACTTTTAGGCAAAAACATTGATACTCAAATTCTTCGAAGAGAATGAAAAATGGCAGTGGAAGAGTAGAAAATAATAAATTTAGACAGATGTAGTGTAGTGCTTCCTAAATTATAAATTATGCCCCATTTTCTGAGGATTTGTATTATATATTTTTTTGGGGCTTAATCACTCAGCAATAATCTCGTCTCTAGGCTCGAATATGTGATTTGTGACACACCACAATAGTACTTGCCTTTGTATGTGTTGGTGATTGATTGTTGAAAATCCCCATGGAGCTACTAGTGAGATTTTATGGGTTTTTGGTTCTAGGAGGGGAAGAAGATGAAGTTTTCAAGGATAGGATGGGGTGCGATGGCGCTGATCGTCAAACTAACAATTTTCATCCATTTGAACTTCAATTACGCATTTTTGAAAGGTTTGGTATCGTGGTGGTACGATGAAAGGTTTGAGTCAAGTCTACAAAAAAAAATAAAAGATTTTATATTGTGACTGCAATTTTTCCTTAATTAAATGAATGTGAATATTATTTAATTGAGAATTAATAATAGGGAATTCATATTTTAATGAAAAACACACACGTGAAATGAACGTCTCGGATGTACATGTATATTGATGGTAACTAAATGGTTAAATAAATTAAATACATATTGAAGGACAAAAAGTAAGGTATTATTGAAATTATTGAATTATAGTAGGCTAATATGATATTTAATATATTATAGATGTGTGATTAAAAAGTAGAGAAAATTTTTGCGTTTATGAGCAAAATTTTATTTTTTTTTATTACTCGAGTATCTAAGTTTCGTCAAACTAATCTTGAGTAGCAACCTTCCACTGGTTCACTATACTGAGTAAATTTGATGCGATCATAACATATACATGTTTGGGCTGGACATTCGGGAAGTGAATCTCCTCTTTGTAGATTCCCTTTACGACGTGTGGATGGAATCTTAGGAGGGGTGACAGAGCGTACCATGACTTTGTGTCCAAGGGACATATGCCTTCCAATATAAATGTTGTCTTCCAACTGTAACAGAGATTCAATCTCCGATACTTCATAAAGAACACCCTTCCCCTTTAATATTACGCCATGCCATGGGAGCAACGTGCAAAATATTTTATTTTGTGATTGTGTGGTTAAAAATGAATATGTAAGAATATAGTTTGAAATTAATGATTATCAAACATTAAATTCCATAGCTATCGATGTTCTGCGACTGACCTTAAAACTATCCCGCTCCTCTCATTTGAGTCGAGACTCCTCCCCAGCCTATTCATTGGTGGTTGATGTCGGATGCCAAGAGGCGCAAGAGTGATAGGTGGATATTTGTCATATATGGAAATTGCCCCACCTATAAAGTCCCATCCCCTTGAATTCGATTTCTCGAGCGTCAAATATTCTATTGATGGTAGAATCCTTCACTCCTTGATAGAGCCAAAAAAAAGAAAAAAGAATGAAGAACGGGTGGGAAAGGTGGAGGCCTCTTCTTATGCTTGTCGTGCCACGCACATTCATTTATACATAGAGGGAATCTTCCTTCGCATTAATTGATTCCTTCTCCTACAGAGAAAAATAAAGAGAATTGAACTACCTACTTATTATTCGGATGTACTACAAGCATCCATCAATCTACTAAATCCTTGTTTGGTAGATATTAAAATCAGATTTTAGTAGATTTTGATAAAAGTTGTTGAAATGTTAGTTGAAAAGTTACGAGTTCCATAAAATGCGTTATTAAAATTAATTGTTGACTTTGACTTAAAATTTTAAACCAAACCAAACAGGGGCTAAGTATCTCCAATTTACAGGATACGAATAAACCATAAAGCCTAGTATCCCCACCACAGGATTGATAGAGGCTTATCTGATTCATCAATACCATAGGAACTAAATCACAATTGAAAAAAAAAAAACAGGGACTCGGTTGAATCGAGCCATGAGCCAGGTCGACTTGGATTTTTTTTGGGCCGAGCCGTCCAAACCGACGAGTCAAATTGAAACCTCTATTTTTAATTGCACATTCTTTAAATAAAATAGTTTCCTAGTAAATTAAAAAAAAATCCATTTTTGACCACACAATCTCCAAAAAAATATTATTACAAAACTAACTTTTTGTTAAAAATGGTGCTCAAACGGTGCATGTCATTTCATTGCTTCTGCGGTTTCAAGTTTTAAAAATAAAAATAAAAGTTAGGTGTGATGTAATTTTTTAAGATCATTTTTCATCAAGAATTTGAACTAACTTTTTAGACATCTTTATGTACATTATTTACGCTTGTATTTGAATCTAATTTTGAGGAGAATAGACATTTTGGAATAGTGATTGATGTGAGAATATGAGGTGAAAAAGTGATGAAAATTTTTTAATTTATGTGTAATATTATTTTATTTGAAGAATGTATAGTTGAAATAAAAATGAAAATGAATAGGTGTCAAATGGGGCTATAATTGAATAAGTTAAAAGCTTGTTTGGAAAGGATTAAAATCGGATTAAAATTGAAAAACTAGCCGTTATTGTTGACTTTTATTAGACGGGTGGGACCCAATAACGGCTATATTTTCAATTTTAATTGGATTAAAATCATTCCCAAACAAGCCCTAAATTTGTAACCAAAAACATGCAGCAGCCTTACAGTACTTGTAACATCCCACCAAACACACCAACTCCCGAACGCACACATTACACACACCAAACCCCCAACAGAAAAACCAAAACACAGCCAAACCAGAGGAGTAGAACAAGCTAAAAAGCTTATCTTCATCTTCTCCATTCTCCACAAATGGATTCCAAAGTCCAAATTCATACAGAAAATCCTGAATCTCAAGCCCCTTCAGAGGACCAGAATCAAACCCAGATTTCTTTCATTCCTATAGCTTCAATTTCTTTATCGCTTTCCGCTGTTCTTCCTTCCCATTTTCTCCCCCCTTCCCAAAAAATCGCTTCAATCTTCAATCCTCCAAATAAGGTGAAAATCCCATCTCAAATTTCATCGCTTTCCCATCTTTCAATTTCCTCTTCACTGTCACCTGCGAAGCCATTTTTCAAATCGACCATTTCTGCCAACCCACTTCAAAGCCCACTCACTCTGAATCCACTTCGGCCCTCTGAGCCATCCAATGCCGCGGCCCTTCGTCGTGCCTCCATTGTTTGGTTCCGGAATGACCTACGAGTCCATGACAATGAGTGCCTTACTTCTGCCCATAATGAGTCCATATCTGTACTTCCAGTTTACTGCTTTGACCCACGGGACTATGGGAAATCTTCGTCGGGATTCGATAAGACAGGCCCTTATCGTGCCACTTTTTTGATAGAATCCGTTTCTAATTTGAGGAAGAATCTGCAGGCACGCGGGTCGGATCTTGTGGTCCGGATTGGAACGCCCGAGAGTGTGCTGGTGGAGCTGGCCAAGGCTGTGGGGGCCGAGGCAGTATTTATGCACAGGGAGGTTTCTTGCAACGAGGTGAAAGCAGAGGAGAAGATCGAGACGGTGATGAAGGATGAGGGAGTAGAGGTGAAGTACTTCTGGGGAAGCACATTACACCATTTGGAGGATCTGCCATTTAAGTTGGAGGAAATGCCTACAAATTATGGGGGTTTTAAGGAGAAAGTGAAAGGATTGGAGGTGAGGAAGACAATTGAGGCGATAGACCAGATGAGGGGGTTACCGGCCCGAGGGGACGTGGAGCCTGGGGAGATACCTTCATTAGTGGATTTGGGTCTTAACCCAAATGCAACCATGGGTCAGGTATGAATTTTGGTTTGCTCGATGATTTCTCGATTCAATGTGTGAAATAGTCGCTGCTAGTTTTGATCTGATAACGTGGAGCTTTAATGATTAATTTATGAAATGTACAAGCTTATATGTATGCACAATTGATACTC